ATCTATTGCCTGTTTAGTATTCCCCCCACCCCTCCCATCCCTGGTAATCAACAAAGATTGTTACATTTTGTGTGTGAACTTTTTCATGGGTGTTTACAATAGAGGTCTCATACAATATTTGTCCTTTTGTGATTGACTTATTTCACTCAGCATAATGTCCTCCAGTTTCATCCATGTTATGAGACGTTTCACTAGGCAACAGTTCTTGCACAGTAAAATCAAAGTCACAGTTAACAAAAATCATAGAGGGGACACAAAGCTAAACAAATCAAAACGCAAAAGATAGTTTATATACTTAGAATGTGATTCCAGGAAAAGCTTCATAAAACCTACGTGACGATTGGTAAAAGCAATTTAAGATCATTGTCACCATGAAGAATAAAAGTAGTCAAAACCAGGAAATACCAAAATAGTTATCTTGAGGACGTGTATCGTTAGAAACATACTATTAATAAACTTTAGTTAAGTCTTGAATTAATGAATAAACTGATTGTTCGATTTTGTAAACCAAAGGAGTGAAAAAGGAAACAGAAATTTCATATTAAAAATGAAGTGGACATTAATAGAACTTGAAAGAAATGATAAGCTTTAAGAATGAAAGGAAGAAACCGATCATCTGACTAAAAATAACAAAATAAAACTATCAGGTGCAGATCCTGGGGCCATGGAAATTGGGGTCAGCGCTGCCCCGAGAGCCAAGAGGAATGGGGCTGGGAGCTGTCAGAAGAAACTGAGCCAATAATAAATGTAATCTATTAGATGAGGTTTATTGGACAGAAGATTTCAAATCCGGTAGCACCACACCACATGTGGAAAGGTACTCCACCGAGGATCAGTAATGATTGGCTTCATAATGACAAAATGAAGAAATAAAAGAAGCTTATTTTAGATTGGTTTCTATAATTTACTATTGAAAAGCCATCACGATTTCATTGGTCAGTGAGGGTGGCCCCATTCACAGGAAAGCCAAGCATAAGTTTTGGGTAAAAACAAGTCTTACCTGGTTTGTCTACACAACAGCCGATGTCATTTTGTCAACCAAGGGACTCTGTTTTGATTTAACAGGGCCAAGATGAAAATCCACCTCCCAGTGGGGACTTTCCAGGATGTGAGGTGGAGAGGGGACAGTGAAGGTTTCTAAGCAGGAAATGGGGAGCAGGCAGGGTCCACAGGAAAATCACATCAGATGATTAAAATGTGGACAATCACAATACTGAGAATCATCGCCTAGACAAGTAGAGGCATATTTTGGGGAACACAATTCAATCCATAGCAGTTTCTAAATTTTCTTTTTCATTTCATAAATAACTTTTACATATTTTTCCCATGACCTTAAATATTTTTACACTATCATGTTATTAAGGAGCCGTGGTGGTGCAATGGTTAGGCAGCCAGCTTGTAACCAAAAGGTTGGTAGTTTAACCCACCCTGGTGCTCTGTGGGAGAAAGAGCTGGTAATCTGCTTCTGTAAAGATTAGAGTCTAGAAAACCCTGTGTGGCAGTTCTACTCTTTCACATGAGGTTGCTAGGAGTTGGAATCGACTTGACTGCATCTAACAACTTCTAGTTAATAGAAGTAAAAATCATAATAATTAAAATAAAGTAAAAATAAAAATAATAATAGTATGCATATGTGTGTGCATATATAATTACCTTTTAACTAATTCTCTGTTGTTGGTTCTTAACTTGTTTCAAGTTTTCTAAGTTAATAAACCTTCTGCCAATGTCTATTTAATGGTATATATTTTACTTGAGGTTTTGATTCTTCGGATTCAGTTCTAGAACCCAACCACCGGCATTCTGCCATTTGTTAAGATGCTTGACCCAAGGCAAATTAGAGTCTGTGACACAGTTTTGTTTCTCTCTCATGTGAGAATAGACCATTTCTGTTATGATCACAAGGTTAGAGCCTAACCTTTCTTTAAAGCCTCTTATTGACTCTTTGATCTCTAATCGGATGAATCGTTGCCCTGGTTCCATTGAGAAATTATACATAACTTGGCTGATAGAACATAATATTTATCACTTGGTTAAACACAACCACTTGCTGAATTTTTTTTATTTGTATATTTCCTTTTTCATCCACACAAATGTAAAATGGATATCATATCCTCAGTACCCCATAGGCAATAACCCCCATTCTTCCCTCCTCTAAGTCTCTGGTAGCTACTAAAACTTTGGTCTCTATTCTTTAATCTAGATTAAATTTTGGAATATATAACTTGCTCAAAATTATCTTATATGCAGCCATCCATACACGTGTTGTTTCCTGCTCATACGTTTCCTATGCACAACAGAACAAAACACTGCCAGTCCTGTACCATCTTCAAAATCCTTGCTATGCCTGAGCCCATTTTTTGCAACC